CCTATTATGCACGCGAAGAGTATATATATATATATAAACTTCAACACATCCTACACCGTTTATTTGCGTAATAATGATAATAATCGGTTTATACTGGCTGGTTAAGTATATACTTACTAAGTACTGTAAGACTCGTTTTACGTTTATAACTGTGCGCGTAAGAGTGCGGGTACTTACGTACGATGCAATCGGATATTATACAGTTATTGATACATGTCCGTTGAAGGAACGCGGTAAAAGCATTGCACGTGTAGGTACTTGACTCTGGCGTTGGCACGTTAATCTTTAGAAGAAAAAAAACTGATTGCGGAGTCGCAATCACAGAAGTATTGGAGTATACGTGTGCTTTTGCCAAATAATAGCTGATAACTGTGTAATAATAACTTAGTATTATGGCGCGAGAAAAAATGTACTGATATAAATGAGTACCACTTTCGACTTGTAAAGCACTTGACGTATTTTTTTTTAAATGATTTGGAAAATTTCTTGTAAATCGAATAGAATGCAAAATAATCGCTCGCTATGATTTTCGTTTCCTTGACGTATGTGTTGTGCCTTGACGGAGACGCAAAAATCAAAGGAAATACAAAAAAAAATTTGCCAATGTTGAAAATAACTACCACGAGTTGTGTACACGTGTACGGTAGATAGTATCTTCGTAGTCGAACGATGTATGGATTATTCTTATCGGTGAGGCAATGATAGGTACAAGATCATCGAGCTTCTTATCGAAATCTGCTGATGCAGAAGAGTTGGCCAACGATGATGATGATGATGTATGTATATCAACCTCGGGACTCGGGTGAGAACGTAAAAATGTTATAAATGTGACTTTATCGCTATCCGTGAATATCAACGCGATGGAAACTCGATGGAAGCGGAAAGTTTTTATTACCATAACTTTCCAGTAGCTTGTATTTGCTAAAATTTTCTAAAACCACATTTTTTATTATTTGAAAAGGTATAAATCATTATTATAATGAAATTCGTCTAAACGTACGTTTTATAGTGAAATTATAGTCTGAGTAATAATTTTCAATTTGAGGAACAGTGATTTTACAAATTTTTTCTAGTTGAAGATTACATTTAAAAAAAGCTACCTACAGCGTCAACGGTAAGATATTGGCTTGAAATTTTGTGGAAATGTTACCCTTTATTTTTTCTATCTTAATTGATAAAAAAACTTTCAAAGATATTATCATTTTCGTATCATCCAGCGTGTGTACTGGTATATCATTCATCTTGTTATCCGATAATTATCATATCTTAAAATCTTGAGTCAATTTTGATGATACATGGCATACATGATTTATACTATCTATTGAAAGGACTAACATTTTTATCTTGGATAAAAAATTTTGTAATTATCTCAAGAATGAGACGAAGAAAGCTAATGACCATATTAGTAAAAAGTTGACAGTGATTTTCACTAATCAAATTTACATTTTTAGAGCAATATTAATAATTCAAGTCTAAAAAATATTATAGTATTAAGATATCAACTGGCAACCTAAATTCTTGCGGTCTTTTAGAGAATCGTGCAACAGCATTTCGCCTAAAAAAAAATACTGTGGCGGCCGGGTCACGTTTTTAACTACTCCTCAACACGCGAGAAAGGTGTGGGTACACCTATGTAGGATAATTCACCTGCGGTTATAGATCAGCCCCAAACTTTGAGTCGATCGGCAAGTATTATAAGGTCAAAGTAATTAAATACAAAAGCTCGTACCTCATAAATGATATCGCCGTTTTCGGCGTGCACCATCGCCACAGCACCAAGGCTCTTGCATATCTTGAAAGCCTCTATCAGTTCTGGATCCCTCAGCATGAACAGATCACGATACGCCATGAAGAATTTGAAACTATTCACACCAAATTGCTGAACCAACGCGGCCATCTCCTCTTTCGTCTGTAAAGTAATCAATGCCATTTTGGTTATTATTATTATTTTTTAAATTCAATTCATCAAATATTAATCCAACGGTGGATATAAATTGCATCCTGCGAAATGAAATATCATCGATGAAACAACGCTGCCACAGTGCTATCATCGTTTTGGGTTATCCCATCAAATACATTACATGTTCATTGTACACGTATACCAGCATCAATCAAGCATATCAACCAACGACCTCTAAACTCCGAACTTTTCAATATTATTGAAGTTGGTCGTTCTATTGACCGTCAATAATACCTACACATCACGTGCACGCATACATACACTTAGATTGTGGAACAAATGTTTTGGAATATTTTCGACGTGAAAATAGGTGTCAATTTTAGGTGTATAAATGTATTTAAACTAAGAAAACTTCAAGCTCTCGCAAAGTATACTTAACGATCGTTACATTCTCGAGAAAGTCATATCAGATTCAAATTGATGCCTTTTCAGTTCTACGATAAGAACATGTTTGAAAGGTCAAAGTATCACGACCTCGTAAACGAGTAGGAAAAATAATGAATATTATACAATCTCTTGTCAAGGTGACGTTTGTGATCCATTAGGAGAAAAAAATAGCAGCGCAGGAGTAGTCGAAACTAGCTACTTGCGAGTGGAATGGAAAAAACCGAATTCAGAGTAGGTAGATCTAAACTCGTGATATTTTGGTGAGCTTCGATCGGGTCTATGGCAACAGCTGGCGCAGAGACCTAAATATACCACACGCAGTGGATGAATCTAGCACCTTGCCTGCCGGTACTTATGACTGGTGTCAAAGAGAGAAGGAAATATTTGGCTCCGCTCCACAAGCCGAGTTCGTCGTCTGCTCCTTCAACTATTTTCATTAAGCTTCGCTCCAAAAGGTTTAACGGGGTTGCTCAAAAAAAGTAAACAAAAGTGCTTGGAGAAAAGTCCAAACGGTAAACAATAAAAAAAAAAGTAAGTAAAGTGCTTGGAGAAAAGCCCAAACAATAATCGTAAGAAAAGAGGTGTTGAGCTTTAAAATTCAAACCTTTAAGAATTTTATTGAATTTTTTGAGCCGAAACTTTCTTACAACGACCACCTTTCGTTAAAACACATAAATTCAAGTTTATTTTTAACTCTTTACTTCCTTTCTTTTAACGAATCTGCACGACATTTTGGTACTTAGTTGTTTTGAGATAAAAAAAGTGCTTGGTTGCATATACATATTTATATTGATAATGCAAAAATTGATAAATCGTTATTGTTGTTATATTTGAAATATTTAAATGTATAAATAAAAATTTCAACTACACGCTTTAAAAGTACTATATTAACACACTTGGACATACATAAATATACAGTATGATAAGGAGCGGTGTGCGAGTTATATTTGCGGAAAGGAATTTAAATATGATTATATAAATTACAAATTTTTTTATAAAATGTAAAATCGTTATGATGGTTCTTTATTTAAATTATATTTGAAATGACACTCTTAAGGTTGTTCGAATGGAGCGCACAGAGGGATGAAAGCGATATACAAGTGCTTAATCACCAAGTTGTGCGGGTGACAAAAAATTTTTTTCAAGCTTACGAGACACCAAAGTTGAAATTTTCGAGAGAATTTCTCATGTATTTGCTGACGGAGCGTTGAATCACACGCAGATATATACATGTATATGCGTCCATTAGACTACGGAGAAAAGCAGAGCAGAGCCGCTTGCACCGCAGCCAAGAGAGCACATCTCTCTCGACGAGGTCGTCGCACCGATTGTCCCGTACCATACACATATATAGTACCTATTATGCACGCGAAGAGTATACCTGCGCTTACATAACATCATATATACACATATACATGCAAGTAAACAAAGTACAATACCTGTTCTCGGCGCATGATATACGTCACAATGTCACACAATGATTCACACGGCCGCATGCGGATCTGTACATTTTATGAATGTATGTACCAATTACCTACCTCACTTGAATTAAACGCTATTATGTATACCCTCCCACGCGCGATACCTATGACGTACCCCACAGATGTGAACGCGTCTACGTCATATTATATACATCCGACGTAACGAGATAATAGAACTACTTTACTATATAACATTAATTAATGTGAGTACAACTGCACGTAATAAGTAGCTTTGCATTTGGCTTTGAAAACGTTTATGGTAAAAATATATTAACTAATTTGTACGAGGTTCACCTATCTATAGGAAAAAAAAAAACTACGAAACACAGCAGCGGATTTTAAAACGTTTATTGCCAACAACCATTGGAATTAATCCTGAATTCTGATTTTTTTTTTTTTTTTTTCTAACCGAGTACCATAAATGAATAATATTGATAATACCATGACAGTGCAGAGCAACAATAAAGTTGAAGAAAAAGTACAAAGAGACGTATTACGCGCATACAATTGTTCGTGTAACATATGTACAATGTCGTATACGGGCTTACCTTGTTGTTCCATTTGGTGATGGCCACGTGAAGGGCATAGTCGCAGCAGACCTTCTCGTCAGCGGAAGTCCTGTACCTGTCGTAAGCCTCGAGTAGGGTCTCGTCGGCCCTCGGTATGACAAAGTCGATGACGGTGGTAGTGCCACCGGCTACGGCGGCCTTCGTGCCCTGGTAAAAGTCATCAACCGACCTCGCGCCCATGAGCTCGAGCTCGAAATGCGTGTGCGGGTCTATGCCACCCGGCATCACGTACCTCCCGCGCGCGTCTATGGTCCGGGTACCCCCGGGGATTATCAAGTTCCGGCCGAGTTGCCTGTAATTGCTCGTTTTTCATCCCGACAACACCCGACAACATCGACATACATTTATATATAAATACTCACTTGATGATGCCATCTTCGATGTAGACATCGGCATCGAAAACGGCATCCTCGTTGACGATCTTGCCATTTTTAATGAGCAATCTATTCTGCGAGCTCTGCAACAAAAACCATTTTCCCAAATGTTTACTTCTTACATCAGTTGCAAGCAATTCGGGTGGACGTGATATAAAAGTACCATCGATCGGATCGTCGCAAAACCACCACCACCCACCCCACATCTGCAACGTTGCGTCGCGACTTCCGATACAGTCGTTTGCGTGGAAAAAAAGGGGACAATATAGAAAGGGGAATAAAAGGCCGCGACGCAACTTCATCCCTATTTATCTCCCTCTCTCTCTCTCGTCAACCCCTAAACTCCATACATGTTTGCAAGTTTCACGGTTTATGGCTACCCGAGAGTGGCGACGGCGCCTGAGCACGGAGTATGGATTTTATTCAACGGTGCCGTCTCGGTGCTGCCACACCATGCTGGTGCTTTTCAGAGCCCCCCCGCTCGCATTAATAGCTGGCTCGACGTAAGAAATTTGTTGGCAAGAAGATTTGGGTCGGAGGGAAATTTTTTTTCCCTCTACTGCTACAACGCTGTTTTATTAAATTAATACGATTGTTTGAATTAATCGAAACATCTTCTTTTTTGCTCTTGGGATACATATATATTATGTACTGGTATTGAAAAACAAAAAATGGTTGTTTAGCATACAGAGAATTTTTCCTGATAAATTAGGGATGATACTTTTAGCGCTTTTTTTTTGCCCAGTAATCAATTGTCGCGAATGCACGCGTGTCACAGGCTTGTCTATGTGTCTATTGTTGTTTTCACCTTTGTATTTTCTTTTGTACACGTGTACATGTGCATTCGTGAGTGTAGGAGAAAAGAAAAGTCTACTATACATGATCGATTCCACTGAAAACGATATTTTTTCGAGGCACGTTTTCAGCACAATTGTTATTTTTTTTTATTTTTTTTTTTTATACCTCCATCAATACGAGCGAATTTGCTAAATAAATTAGATCTCGAGATATTTTAACCGATACAGTTTTCGAGTAAGACTGTCGCTATGTTTCAAAATTGCGATTTTTCAAAATTGTGTAGTTCCAAATCAAATACAATGAGACTTGTTGTTAATAACTTCAAACTTTATATACATGGAATAAGCAAAAAAAATCCTAANATCAATTTTTGCATTATCAATATAAATATGTATATGCAACCAAGCACTTTTTTTATCTCAAAACAACTAAGTACCAAAATGTCGTGCAGATTCGTTAAAAGAAAGGAAGTAAAGAGTTAAAAATAAACTTGAATTTATGTGTTTTAACGAAAGGTGGTCGTTGTAAGAAAGTTTCGGCTCAAAAAATTCAATAAAATTCTTAAAGGTTTGAATTTTAAAGCTCAACACCTCTTTTCTTACGATTATTGTTTGGGCTTTTCTCCAAGCACTTTACTTACTTTTTTTTTTATTGTTTACCGTTTGGACTTTTCTCCAAGCACTTTTGTTTACTTTTTTTGAGCAACCCCGTTAAACCTTTTGGAGCGAAGCTTAATGAAAATAGTTGAAGGAGCAGACGACGAACTCGGCTTGTGGAGCGGAGCCAAATATTTCCTTCTCTCTTTGACACCAGTCATAAGTACCGGCAGGCAAGGTGCTAGATTCATCCACTGCGTGTGGTATATTTAGGTCTCTGCGCCAGCTGTTGCCATAGACCCGATCGAAGCTCACCAAAATCGCAATTTTGAAACATAGCGACAGTCTTACTCGAAAACTGTATCGGTTAAAATATCTCGAGATCTAATTTATTTAGCAAATTCGCTCGTATTGATGGAGGTATAAAAAAAAAAAATAAAAAAAAATAACAATTGTGCTGAAAACGTGCCTCGAAAAAATATCGTTTTCAGTGGAATCGATCATGTATAGTAGACTTTTCTTTTCTCCTACACTCACGAATGCTTATAGCGTAGATTTTTTTTTCAAAAATTTGTTATTGGGAATTATTTCAATAACATTCAATTTTTTAAGATACGCTAGTTGTGATTATTATTATTTTTTAAATTGAAGAACACTACAGAACTGAAACGTTTAAATAGGTAGTAGGTAGGTAGGGTTGTTTTGTTTGGGAGGATCAATTTTTTCCCAAACCCTCCTCACCACTGTCGGGATACAGTGTCCAGGAAGGAAGGGAAACGGGGCCGGACCCTCGATATCCTGACAGGTAAATTCATCCAGACAAACGATGTTTGCGATGTAGAGCAAGATCGGTTGGTGGAAATAAATGGGAAAAAACGGATTGGTTTGACGTCAAGTAACATCGATTTTTGGATACCTCGCAACACATCGTTTGCCTGGAAATTAACCATACGGTCTGATGACGGACTTTTGATTTTGATGGAGTTTGACTTTAAAATTTTGGCAAATATAAGTAATGTGACGGTCCATCTCGAAGACTCTCTCTAATATCAACGTCCGCAATCAGACCCTACAGTTGTAGCTCTTCGGCTATGCCTACACTTAAATACTATACTTGGGAAGTGAGCGCTTGAGCGCATCGCTTGTTCGTAAGTATAATATGTGAGTGTATGTATGTGTATAGTTACGTATACGTGAGTATATTGTGCGGTAGAGAGTGATGCTCGTCGCTCACCTGATTGGCAATGATGCAAGCCCGGTTGACGGCTTCCGCCTCGACTTCCTCGGGCCGAGACATCTCGTGGCCCTCGGGGCCCGTGATACCCGCGGCCAGCAGCTTCTTCGTATTCTGCAATAGCAAAGTGCCGACAGTACGGTCATCAAGCGCCAGATAAATTTTGCCCTCGAGAGAATAACAATTTTTACGTAGTGCTAAAGAAAAAAAAAAAAAAAAAAAAAAAAAGTGATAATTTTAACAAAATTTAATTAACTGCCGAGATGTAAACACACATATCAAATATCTTCTTCCGTCTTTCTTTTTATACAAACAGTTACATAGGTAAGTGCGAGTAAAAAGTCAGAACTGGAGTCGAGTGACAGGAGAAACGAGCAATATGAGAAACATGGGAATGCTACGGATGATGTCAAGATATGCATGAGTGAGTCAAAGAGATGAGACGACGTATTTCGCGATTAATTTGAAAAAAAAGACTTGTACACGTGCCACAATAGCCTTTTGTTATAGATTAATTCTTTTTTTTACAGAATAATTTGTATTTCCATCGTTCAATAAAAAATGTAACAAATCATGTGCTCTGCTGTGTCGATAAATATTTTCTCTCCGACGCAGTTATTGTTTTATTCTTTTATCCAACATTCATAGTTCACTACTAGTGAATTAAAAAAAACAATTTACACTTAATTAACTTTTAAGCTTCCATACAAATCTATGTAAGCTTGCCTATAATAATAGTATCACAACAATTTAATGTTACGTGCTGGTTTGCAACAAATTATTGTATGAATCATGCCCGAAATAAAACATTTGTTTTCATATACCTCGAAGCTTTATAATCATTGAAAAAAGAAAAAAAATAATAATAATCACAACTAGCGTATCTTAAAAAACGAAACATCTTCTTTTTTGCTCTTGGGATACATATATATTATGTACTGGTATTGAAAAACAAAAAATGGTTGTTTAGCATACAGAGAATTTTTCCTGATAAATTAGGGATGATACTTTTAGCGCTTTTTTTTTGCCCAGTAATCAATTGTCGCGAATGCACGCGTGTCACAGGCTTGTCTATGTGTCTATTGTTGTTTTCACCTTTGTATTTTCTTTTGTACACGTGTACATGTGCATTCGTGAGTGTAGGAGAAAAGAAAAGTCTACTATACATGATCGATTCCACTGAAAACGATATTTTTTCGAGGCACGTTTTCAGCACAATTGTTATTTTTTTTTATTTTTTTTTTTTATACCTCCATCAATACGAGCGAATTTGCTAAATAAATTAGATCTCGAGATATTTTAACCGATACAGTTTTCGAGTAAGACTGTCGCTATGTTTCAAAATTGCGATTTTGGTGAGCTTCGATCGGGTCTATGGCAACAGCTGGCGCAGAGACCTAAATATACCACACGCAGTGGATGAATCTAGCACCTTGCCTGCCGGTACTTATGACTGGTGTCAAAGAGAGAAGGAAATATTTGGCTCCGCTCCACAAGCCGAGTTCGTCGTCTGCTCCTTCAACTATTTTCATTAAGCTTCGCTCCAAAAGGTTTAACGGGGTTGCTCAAAAAAAGTAAACAAAAGTGCTTGGAGAAAAGTCCAAACGGTAAACAATAAAAAAAAAAGTAAGTAAAGTGCTTGGAGAAAAGCCCAAACAATAATCGTAAGAAAAGAGGTGTTGAGCTTTAAAATTCAAACCTTTAAGAATTTTATTGAATTTTTTGAGCCGAAACTTTCTTACAACGACCACCTTTCGTTAAAACACATAAATTCAAGTTTATTTTTAACTCTTTACTTCCTTTCTTTTAACGAATCTGCACGACATTTTGGTACTTAGTTGTTTTGAGATAAAAAAAGTGCTTGGTTGCATATACATATTTATATTGATAATGCAAAAATTGATAAATCGTTATTGTTGTTATATTTGAAATATTTAAATGTATAAATAAAAATTTCAACTACACGCTTTAAAAGTACTATATTAACACACTTGGACATACATAAATATACAGTATGATAAGGAGCGGTGTGCGAGTTATATTTGCGGAAAGGAATTTAAATATGATTATATAAATTACAAATTTTTTTATAAAATGTAAAATCGTTATGATGGTTCTTTATTTAAATTATATTTGAAATGACACTCTTAAGGTTGTTCGAATGGAGCGCACAGAGGGATGAAAGCGATATACAAGTGCTTAATCACCAAGTTGTGCGGGTGACAAAAAATTTTTTTCAAGCTTACGAGACACCAAAGTTGAAATTTTCGAGAGAATTTCTCATGTATTTGCTGACGGAGCGTTGAATCACACGCAGATATATACATGTATATGCGTCCATTAGACTACGGAGAAAAGCAGAGCAGAGCCGCTTGCACCGCAGCCAAGAGAGCACATCTCTCTCGACGAGGTCGTCGCACCGATTGTCCCGTACCATACACATATATAGTACCTA